TTTCCCAACAATTACAAAATGGTAAATCCGTAATCTGTTTTCCATAAATGTATAAGCTTCCAACAGTTTCCAAATAAGGTACTCGTAAAACTGCATTGAAATTGGAGAGCTTGGGTTTGTTAGAACTCCAGCATAAAAAAGGAGACTGCTAGCCGAACAAAATGGAGGGGTAACGTTGTGGGAAGAAAAGATTAGGATATCCCAACCGAGCGCAGAGTTGAAAAACAGTCCCCATTGCCTAAGAAAGTAAGCCGTTAAAAACGCAATCAGGCTTTATCAGAAGTATCCGCTTTTGGGGATGAATTTATTTTGTGTGAATTAAAAAGTGTTATTGGCAAAAATCCACCTAAAATGAGAAAGACCAGACGGTGACTTTTGTTCTAGAAACCCCAGTAACGTCGGCTTGCCGGTTGTTAATTGAGCCTTTCGACTTTCGTTATTTTTCACATGGTTTTTAAATTCACTGTGAATGACCTTCGAAATTTAAAGGCGTTCTGTTTGGTCTGAGAAAAGAAATTATTGTAAGAATTATAATGGTTGGTTTGTAAAATATTGTCAGGTTTAGTTTGCCCTTGAACATTAATTGGAGGATGTAATGACAGACGTGTGTCGCAAAGGTGTTGCAGATTAAAAGTCGTCCTGTTTAAACCAGGTATTTCTTTTATCAAACACTTTGGTTCATGACCCAAATAATATAATGGATTGCTTTTACTCAGCATTACACGAAGTGGATACCTTGACAGTTGCTTTTAGAAGCTTTAGTTAAATTTTCACGAGCTGGGAGTCTGCTTTTGGGACTCGTGTTTTTTGTGTGTTTGTTGATGGAAGCCTTTTACTATCATATTTGCATTTTCTACTGGAAAAAGTCACAGATTACTGGCGATCATCAGGTCAATATAGAGGGGAGCCATTGAAAAAAATAGAACAAACTTTTAACATTTCGTAAGAGGGCGCCATACTCAAAAGTGTACCCATTTCAGTGAAGTTATGGGGGCGCTGTTGCCTATAAGTTGACATTGGTCAACTGCTAGCCAACAGAGGGCGCTATTGAAAATTGCCATCTTGCTATTTTGCTGTATAGAGGGCGCTACTCGTTTTCACAATTGATTCAACAGAGGGCGCCATAATATTTTTCAATAGAGGGCGCTAAATATTGGTCGCTTACTAATTTTTGTCACAAGAGGGCGTTATTGGAAAATTGGTATATCACGTGCACTCACCGCTGCATGCATGAAATTTTAAATCAGAAACTGAACACAAGATTTGACACATTCTTTGGTATGTTTGTAAAGGTAAGCTAATTGTTCAGTAGCCCCGTAAATAGGGCCCGACGTATACTCCTTCGTAATGTACTGGGCCCTGTCCCGATTGATATTGGAACAAGTTTATCCGGGATACATGTGGGCATGGTGTTCTTCGACTTCGAGAACTCAAAGTCACTACTCCGTGTGACTAGTCGACTGTGAATGCAATTGGTTTACATGGTGTCGTAATGCTATGGGGTTTTGAAAAGTGCTTTGCCAATATGTGATACACGTAAGTGTGAGGGGAATAGATGTCAGTTTCGAAATGAGCTAGAGCTTTTATTTTGCTAGTTTGCATGTGTTGCTTTCAGTGGTTCCCTGACCACAGATTTCCCAGACGTCTCTATCTGTCAATACATAATCTGAACGAGCTGAGCTGATGAGAGTAGTCAGAATTATCGGGACTGGTATCCAAAGCAACATAAACATTTAATTTTACGTGAATACGCTGTATCTGTTTTTGTCACATGACGTACGGCCATAAGAGAATGCAGATGTCTGTGGTTCATTGAGGAATGAGAGGTGAGGATGGTAGAAAACAAATTTTTGATTGATGTCTTGCTGCTTAAATAGTCATTTCATTACTTTGTCTTTACTTTGTTAGCTCGGAGGAGTTTGGCCTCACAGATTATGATGAAGATGACTCTGACGTCAGCCGTAGCACAGACAGTGAAGGTAGGTTC